AAAAAAAATTGATTGCATATTCCCGGATAGTTTGTTGGTTGTCCATTAGTTTTACATACTATGTGACACCTGCCATCAGAGCCCTCAATCTGCCCCCCTCTTGATGCGCCCCTGGACATCAAAGATCCGTCCATCCACCCACAGTCATGCAGTTTGTGAATGAGCCTCTTACCTTGGCACTGGAATCCCTGCTTCCCGAAACCCCTGTGGGCAGAAACAGACAGAGATATATTAATAATAAGCAGAAAAACATGAATAAAAGCAATGGCCCCCCTTGTAACCAACAGCATTCCTCCACCAGTTTAGAGGTTGGTGTGGAGGAGGGGGGGATGCGGTAAAACAGAAAAGCCGAGCAGCAGTGCTTGCTCTGCGGCTGCAGGCAGCACATCTCTGCCCCTGTTGAAGGGACCGCCAGTGCTGTCGCATTGAATGGCGCATCGCCTTGTATTGGTCTGTTTTATAGTGACAGGTTTTGAACACTGCGGCGCTGATGTGAGCAGAGAGGCCGCCGCAGCAGCAGCAAGTGGATCACCTGTGTCCTTTCGCCTCGCCTGTTCACACTCACCAGATGAAGTCCGTGCAGTGGCTGCAGAAGGTCGGCTGCTTGAAGAAGCGCGCGATGAACTTGTGGTTCTTCACCTCGTGCACGTTCTTCTGGCGCAGGGCTCCCTGGCGGGCGAAGCCGCGCGCGCTCTCCGGAGCCTCACCGTCGCTGTTGGGGTCAGCCATCTTAACGAGGAAGCGGTCCGAGAGGTATGAGGGGCGAGGAAAAAGACGCTACGGAGGCGGCGGGGTAAAAGGAGTCTGGGTGCAGGTACCACCTCCTCCTCATCCACCTCCTCCTCCTCTTCCTCCTCCTCCTCCTCCTCTCCGCCCCACGGTCACTGGAGCTCGTGCCGCTGGTGATTTACACCGTCTGGGTCCAGTTAAGGCTACTACCTTGCCGCTGCTGCTTCTTCCGGCGGCTCTGCTTCCCTGTTTAAAGCGTTGCTGCTTGCAGCTCACTCGGTCTCTCTCCAACAAGCGCAGATGCACATAGATGCGCGCGCAGAGCTGTCTGTCAACAGCATCACCGACTGAACCTGGAGCTCTGCATACCTCCAGGTTCAGAGTGGATTACTGTAGGCACACACACCCATACAGGGTGGAGTTCCATCTCTTAGCAGGAAAACTATTTACCATGCACAAAAGAAGCCTCCAGTACGAAATAGGATTAGGGCCACTAAAAAAGTTTTTTAAAAGTTAAAAGATTTTTTAATATAAGCATTATTTTTTCCCATATTATTTGAGAACAAAGTCAGAATTCTGAGAAAAAAGTCTGAATTCTGAAAGTAAAATCAGAATTCTGTGGAAAAAGTCAGAATTCTGAGATTAAAGTCAGAATTCTGAGATAAAGTCAGAATTCTGTGGAAAAAGTCAGAATTCCGAGAATAAAGTCTGAATTTCAAGAATAGTCAGAATTCCGATAAAAACGTCAGAATTCTGAAAGAAAAAGTCAGAATTCTGGGGAAAAAAGTCTGAATTCTGAAAGAAAAAGTCAGAATTCTGGGGAAAAAAAGTCTGAATTCTGAAAGTAAAATCTAAATTCTGTGGAAATAGTCTGAATTCTGAAAGTAAAGTCAGGATTCTGTGGAATAAGTCAGAATTATGTGGAAAAAGTC